CAGACATTAAATTATTTTTAAGTTCTGGTACGTAAGAGACATTATTTAAAATACACTTGTCTGTTTCAATGCTACCAATACCTAGAGAAAACATTGACTGGTTTTTCTTAGCGACTGATATTTCCTGTTTAAACTCTTTTAAGTTACTTAAAATATTACTGCAGTTGGTCATATGGTTTGGGGTGCAACCACTGTCAACAACAAAAGCCTTGTTAACTTCATTTACTTCATTTATAAGCTCAGGCATACATGTTTCAAGGATTAGGCCTTCCTGTTCCTCATTAACCTTGGTCAGAAAAACAGTTTTATGGGTGTTTTTAGGATCTTTGTTATTGTTATTTTTACTAGCTATCTCTAAAAAAACAATTCTTAGTATCATGGTTACTTTTCTTACAAATAGTACACATCATTGGCCTATTTTTCTTAACTTTATTTTTAAGATAACAGTTTGACTCATAATGGTTATTCTTTTTACAAAAAGAGCAAAACTTTTTACTAGGACAATTCTTTTGAATGTGACCTATCTTTTGACAAGTGAAACATTTTACATTATTAGGCTTATTAAATTTAGTCATACCTTGTTCATATTGAGTAGAGCTAGCCTTAAAAACTGTACTTTCATTACCACTACTGCTGTCCATAGATTTCATCTTACTTTCCTCTTGAACGAGTCGAGCTTTCAGATTTTCGAGTGTCCTTTCCGTAGCTGATGTCGAGTCCCAGGCACTGTTGAAATGTCTGAAGTTTTCTGGTAGTATCGTCAGGATCTTCGTTATCACCATTGTGTCATCTATTTTCTGGTCGAGTTGGTTTAGTTTATAAGTTAGGTTCTGTATTAGGCAAAGGTTACTCATCATATCAATTTCTCTATTGTACTTGAAGTTGTAAAAATCTTGAAGTAATGCATATTTTTGGGTTTCAGTATCTTTTTGAAAAAGTCTTTTTAGTGTTTGAAACATTTCATGGGCGTTTTTACAAGTTAAAATATGAGGTTTAATTTGGTTATCAATTGTTAGCAATATACAGGGTGTTCATTTGAAAACTTTCCATATCTGTTGTGTGCAAAGGTAAGGCTTTTAACACTTGTTTGTTCTCATTTCCCCCTAATTTGGACATGCCAAATTCAATAAAATTATTTTCAATTTTGAAAAATGCCCCAAAAGGGCCCAATTTGGGGGGTAGGGGTGCTTTTTGAGAAATTTTCAAATGTAAACATGGGTTGTGTGATACATCAATTTAAAAGTCTAATCACCCCGATCATTTTGGTGCAAAAAAAGTTTAATTATCTTTAACCGTATTTACAGGGTGGGTCAAAACGTTTTAAAAAAGGACTTTGAAGTTAAGTACCGTATTACCCTAACTACTGAACGGAACAGCGCCAAATTTCTTTCCAAGCTTATTCTTGAGCTACTCTTTAAGATAACTTGTAGTAAGGGCATTTTCCAAGTTATTTTCTAATTTTTAAAAAATCTCAAATTTTAAGAATAAAAGAAAGCTGAAAACTCAAAATTCTTAAATAGCAAGGTATAACAAATTTCATACCACGTGAAAGGTCCTTTTTTAACAAACATTTTACGTATTTAAGTTTTCTTTCTATCTCTTACCGTTTAAAAATTGCAGTGGAAAAACATAATTTTCCATGGTAAAATTATAACTAGTTTTCTAATAAAACACATTGCACTTTGTTCAACGATGTAGTAGGATTCATAACAAATTGATCGACTACTTTTACGTGTGTCAGAATTCATCTTGGACCCTTCATCCTGTTCTTTTCTCATTGGTAACTGAGCCAGTTTCAGAAAACTTCCTAACTAAATCATTTACAGCCATATGACTCAAGGTTATACCTGGATATCTATTGTTAAACACTTTGCAGTTATCCTGGAACACTTTTGTTATGACCAATAAGTAAAATAAAGTATATTTTTTTAAGTTTACACCATATTTGATTAGGTACAGGAAATGGTACTTTTGAAATTAGTACTACCATTGACTAGTCAATGGTACTACAGAAAGCGGCCCACGCTTGGGTTTTTCTCATCAGCTATAAAACTTGTTTCTCACAAAGTAAAACGTAATGACTTGTTTGCCTATCTGCCTAAAAATAATTATGAATTGTTTCCTTCAGTTATTGCACCATTTAATGTGTCTAGAGACGAATTTTGGATGTTTTATTAGAAAACTAGTTACAATTTTACCACAGAAAATTATGTTTTTCTACTGCAATTTTTAAACGGTAAGAGATAGAAAGAAAACTTAAATACGTAAAATGTTTGTTAAAAAAGGACCTTTCACGTGGTATGAAATTTGTTATACCTTGCTATTTAAGAATTTTGAGTTTTCAGCTTTCTTTTATTCTTAAAATTTGAGATTTTTTAAAAATTAGAAAATAACTTGGAAAATGCCCTTACTACAAGTTATCTTAAAGAGTAGCTCAAGAATAAGCTTGGAAAGAAATTTGGCGCTGTTCCGTTCAGTAGTTAGGGTAATACGGTACTTAACTTCAAAGACCTTTTTTAAAACGTTTTGACCCACCCTGTAAATACGGTTAAAGATAATTAAACTTTTTTTGCACCAAAATGATCGGGGTGATTAGACCTTTAAATTGATGTATTACACAACCCATGTTTACATTTGAAAATTTCTCAAAAAGCACCCCTACCCCCCAAATTGGGCCCTTTTGGGGCATTTTTCAAAATTGAAAATAATTTTATTGGATTTGGCATGTCCAAATTAGGGGGAAATGAGAACAAACAAGTGTTAAAAGCCTTACCTTTGCACACAACAGATATGGAAAGTTTTCAAATGAACACCCTGTATAATGTTGAGCCTTGGCATCCTTTACCTTCCACTTTTTTATTTTTGATGCATCATCTCCTTGTTCATCTAAGGTTTCAGTTCCGTTTACTACATCTATCAGTTCTCGTGCTTTGAACAACACACTAATCTCAAATTCCCACATAGCAAATGTTTCCACGTTTTTAAGTCTTTGAATAGTGTTATAATCATTTTCACTGGTCATTATTAGTAAATGTTGATATACTCACGTTAAGAGACAACTTCAAACTTTGTTCTTCTAGTTTTAGTTTTATGGCATTTAATAGCCCGTTCTTACTTGGTTTTATTTTATGGCATTAGCAGCCCTGATTGTTATTTTTTAGTTTTTATGGCATGAGCAGCCCTGATTGTTAATTTTTAGTTTTATGGCATGAGCAGCCCTGGGCCCATAACCTGAAAAGTTTTCTTACTTTTTTATATTTAAATAAATACTCACTTTTTACATTAAACAAAATTATTATTCACAAAACTAACACAAGATTCTTAAAAACATTTTACTAATAGTTTTATTTACACCATTTTAAATTGTTGTGATGTTATTATAATAATTTCATTACAGCTGTTCTTTTTCTAGTAAAGGCAGGCTTAAACAAACATTTTATTTTTATATTATATTTAACAGACCTTTCGGGACTCGAATCTTAGACCTTCAGCAACTCTCATTTTATGAACATTTAGTTACAAAATATACATTGTGTGCCCAAGGTCTAATCCCGCAAGGTCTAAAACAGTATCAGTGGATGAGTTTTTTGCATTGACTGTACTCTTAGACCTTCCGGGACTTAGACCTTCGACATACTGCCAGATTAGACCCTCAGCAACAAGTACAAACTGCAAAATGTATGTCGAAGGTCTAATTAGACCTTCCGGGACTTAGACCTTCAGCAACTGATCTAAATTATTAACACATGTTTCGTATGATTAGATTATGCATACTGGCAAACAAATTACTGCCATTTATATATTACAAATTATTGGTTTTTCTTTTAATTACGAGTCGGTCCAGCTACCCAACCGATTTTCATAATTTTGGTCTTAATATTTAAACGTAATATTGCACGTAGAGATTTGCCATCAAGCATCGGCATTCATTTATCTGACGTATATTTCAAGTTATGCATAAAAGCAACATCCTCCCCGTACATTTCTTATGGAAGTTAAATATGGCTTTTCTTTTCCGAGTTCGTTTGGCTCTTCTACCCAACCAATTTTTATTATTTTGGTCTTAAATTAAAGGTATGAATCTAAAGATTTTAAAGTTAAAATCTTTAACTGTTTATCAACTTCATATAAAATAAATATCGTTTATCATTTATAGATATCATCATTCATCATTTAAAGTACTAGAGGGCAATTATTGTTAATTATACTTTACTTATTACTGTGGCTTGCCCCTGAAGTGGTGAGACAAATATATTATGGTGCTTTATTTTCGTCCCAGTTCAAAATTTGTTGTTACTACAAACAAGGTTTCGATGCTGGTTGCCTAATGATCACGTTGATGCCATTTTCAATAATTCTGTTAAATGTGATATTATTGAAAATACATCCATGTGATCAAGATCCAACCAGCCTCAAAACCTTGATTGTAGCAACAACTAAAATACCTAATCAAAATCATAAACATAGCCTATCTGCTATGTTCCTACGGGCATCACAGGAAAATGTGAATGTGATGGAATTTATAAAAAAATATGATGAATGCAGTGTCAGTAATGGTACCTACAAACAATTGATTAGAGTAAGTAAAACAATAGCCTCCTCTAATACAAGGCCGCAGTGAGGGAAATGTGGCAATGCAACAGTTCGGGCCTACCAAGCCAGCTGTAGCATGGAGTGTGCGCAATGCTAATATTTACACAATTGTTATTATTGAGAATGCGCTTAGAATTAAAAGAAAACAGGATTAACATAATCTAAATAGTCATTTTAGACGTTTGATTGTCATGTGTAAGCCTTACATTTAGTGACTGTGGCAAATTGTGTTTGTTGGGCATGGTCTTGTATTGGAGGAGGCTAAGTTAAAATTAATCAGCTGCTAAAGCCTCAGATGAGTTAACCATCCATTTGATCGTTTAACCTCCGTTTAGTTGTTAGATTATGTTCAGGTTAGTTTATTTTTATTATGGATAACTTAACACTATTAGATCGAAGTGGCATACCTGATCTGGCAATGAGGAAACTGAAATGTGTAGAGGCTAAGAGTGTTGAGATGAGTCGAAACAGATAGATTTGTTGGAACATTGCCTTTTGCCTAAAACAGATTTCAATACAAATTTTATTCAAGATAGGGTATAAAATATTATAACACCTAACATAATATAAGACACATTCCCATAAATTGAAACATAAAACTTAAGGTAAAAATCTTCCTAACTGTATATTGTATTGAAATAATCTAACATTGCAAAATAAAAAACTTAATTTTGTACTTGAATAAACTTAAAAAAATATTTTTTTATAAGACAAGAGGGTGTAAATGATTCCTGTAGAACATTTTTAATGTAATATGTTATGTATTTATTTTAAATAATTAAATTTTTCTTTAACCATCTTAAATGAGCAATTAATGATAGCTAAGAGCAATGTAACCTTTTCACTCATATCAAGGGTCTCCAACCTTTTTCCTCATGGGCCATATAGTAAACTTTTGGAGGGAAGGCGGGAAAGTCATTTTTCAGTGCAGATAGTTTACACCCCTTTATATTTGCTGTATCTCCTTATTAGGAAAGGGTTTATTGATCTACAGATTCAGGTTATAGACAATTGTTCTCAGCAATTGCAGTTCTCTAAAAGCCTTAAATGAAGTGATCTCATACAACACAGGATAGGTCTGAAACTCGACAACTTCGTAATGCTAAAGGTACAACCAATGAAAATTGTATAGCATATAGTGCAAATGTTGAAAGGTGCTGAGCCAATATCAGCCATTTTTGGTTCCTAAACTTAAACTGTCCACCACCTTTACCTGAATTTTGAAGACTATGATAGTTGATAATTGAATAACAAGAAACCTGTTGCCTACCCTTGTGTCATATACAATATACAAATTATACACAGAAAAATATTTACAAAAGTAAAACAGCCAAAAGCCTGCCTCCCCCAAGAAACAAACTGATATGTTTTGAACATTATTGTTTAAATTGCAGCTGACTTTTAACTTGTTTTTATTATTGTTTTCGTTTCTAGTTTTTGACTCATGTTTAAGTTCAGTTCTATTTATTAAACTAATTACTGGCGACGAGGATGAGTTTATGGAAAACTTACAGTGCAAGATAGTTTATTCAATTCCACAGTATACGGTAATTCAATTACCAGCAACTCTTAATAATCCTATGTTGGTAAGTCAACCTAGATGTGAAAAATTTAACCCTAATTCATGTGACATTGATGTTTGGAATATTAAATTCAAGGCAAATTTATGTTTTGGCAATATTAAAAATGATGATATTAAAAGATGTTTATTCATTGACTGCCTGGATAGTACAGTTCTTAAAACATTGGTAACTATTTGCAAGCCAAAAGAAGTTAGTGAATTCACTTATGAACAACTTTACGATCTTTTGGTAAAACAATTCAAGCCAGTAAAGTTTAAAGTTGCCGAAAGAGTGAAATTCTTTTCACTGAAGCAAGGATTTGAATCTTTGTCCACTTTTGCAAGTAACTTAAAAGAATTAGGCAGCAGTTGTGATTTCCCTGGTGATTTTTATCAAGATGCTCTCATTACATCCTTCGTAATGGGTATAAATGAAGATTCTATTAGAGCTAATTTACTTTAGAAAGATTACACAGATTTCAATACTGTACTTGAATTTGCTAGAACATTAGGTTCAGTTTTTACCACTTCAACAAAGAAAAATCTGATTTCATTTTCAGATAATGAGAGCAATGGAGAGGTTCTAGTTACAAATTCAAACTACTTATGCTATTCTTGTGGTGGTAACAATTTTAGGAAACAATGTAGATTTAGAAATGCAATATGTAATAATTGTGATACAAAAGGTCACTTGGCAAAAGTTTGCAAAATTAAAAGTAGAACAGATTTTCAAAACAAAGAAATTGGTGGACATTGTAAAGGAACGTACAATGAAAAAGGAAGAGATTCTAGAACCTTTATCGACTCTAACATAGGTACTTGATTGTTCACACCTAAGTTGGCAAATGAAGCATTTTTTCTCTTGGTCTTCAGTGTCATAATGTGAGTGTATTTTCTCCAATTTGGGTTTCTATCTGTATCAATAGTATTTTAATTAATATGCAACTAGATACAGAAAGTTGTGTTTCCGTTATATGTCAAAAGAACTTGGGAAAGATTGGGAAAATTTCCTTTGTTACATTCAAATACAAAACTGACATCTTATAGTGGCCATTGCATAAACTTGTTTGGTGAACAAACAGTTAAAGTGGCATTCAGGAAAACTAAAAGAGAGCTAAAGCTGTACGTTGCTGAAGGTAGCACTCAGGATCTTTTAGGTAGATACTGGATCGAGGAGCTTAAAATCAACGAATTGCCACTTAATTCATTACAAAGTGATTCTTTATGGGTTTCCAAGGAAGTTGATGACATTTCAAGGTCAGGGTTTCAAACTTCCAAGAATGAGCTTAAGTAAATTAATTGATTATAATAAGGAACTCTTTTGTAACAAAAGTGGCCATCGTACAAAATTCACGGCACACTTAATTTTGAAGGAAGACGCTTCTCCTATTTACGAAAAGGCAAGGCCAGTTCCATTTGCAATAAAGGACAAAGTGTGCGAGGAAATCGACAGGCATGTAGAAGCTGATCTGATAGAACCAATTGACTAGGCTATTCTGATTGGGCTGCACCTTGTGTAGTTGTTAAAAAACCTTCTGGTCAAATAAGAATTTGTGCAGATTTTTCAACAGGATTGAATCAGGCTAAGATTCAGAAGTTTCCTCTACCTACACCTGAGGAAATATTTGCTAATTTGAATGGAGGAGAAAAATTCTTAGTCATAGATTTATCTGATGCCTACTTGTCAATAGAGATTCGCAAGACTTACTAGTGATTAATACCATCAAAGGACTTTACAGATACAAGCGACTTTGTTTTGGAATCGCATCCGCTCCAGCTATCATTTCTAAAGTTATGTACAACATGTTGAATGGGTTGCCAGGTGTAGCAAACTATCTAGATGATATAATTGTTACAGGGCACAACGATGAAGAACACTACACAAATCTAGAGAATACTTAATAAAATTAAAGAGTGGATTCCAATTGAAAAAAGATAAATGCAAGTTTATGCAAGAAACAATGACATATCTTGGGTTTGTAATAACTAAAAATGGTTTACAAGTTTCAGATTTTAAGTTCAAGGCATTGTCGATATGCCACAGCCATCAAATGTCAAAGAATTGGAGGCATTTTTAGTGATGATTACATACTACTCCAAATTCATACCAGAATTTTCTAAAATTTGTTATCCTTTAAATCAACTGCGGAAGAAAGGAGTAGATTGGTTGTGGACTGACCAATGTAAACACAGTTTCAACAAATTAAAAGCCTTGTTAATGAATGCACCTATACTAACACATTACAATCCAGAGTTACCCATCATTCTTGCTGCAGATGCATCAGCTGTAGGAATCGGTGCTACAATTTTTCATAGATTTCCTGACAACTCTGAAAAGCCTATTGCATATGCTTCGAAAACATTGACTTCCACTGAAGCGAACTCTCAAATAGAAAGAGAAGGACTGGCCCTCATTTTCGGGATGAAGAAGTTTCGCCCATATCTACTGGGAAAACACTTCATTTTACAGACCGACCATAGACCCTTGCTTACAATTTTTGGATCTAAGAAAGGGGTACCTACCACAACTGCCAATAGACTTCAGCGTTGGGCACTGATACTGTCTAACTATACGTATGACATTGAATACATATCTATAAAAAATTTTGGTAAAGTCGATGGTTTGAGTAGATTACCGTCGTTTCAACCTAATTCTTTTGATTCCAATGATGAGGGACACCATACAATAGTAGCGACAATTCAAACAGAGGTGCATTCCGAGATCCTTATTACTTGTACTGAAATCGCTGAGGAGTCTGTTAAGGACACTGTTTTGAAGAAGGTGATGCACTATGTAAAAGTTGGTTGGCCTAATAAGTGTCCAGATGAGAACTTGAGGCCTTACTTTTCTAAGAAAGATCCACTGACTCTACATAATAACTGTCTTCTATGGGGAATAAGAACTGTTATTCCACCTAAATACCGAACTTACATCATGGACTACTTGCATGAATCTCACATTGGCATGGTCAGAATTAAGTCTGAGGCTTGGGGTCATGTCTGGTGGCCAGGTATGGATGCTCTAATTGAACAGACGTGTCACCGTTGCCGTGAATGTAACTTGTTTGCAAAAAATTTAACAAGTAAAACACATCTAGTCAACTGGCCTAAAGAACGTGAACCTTGGAGTCGAATCCATTTAGATTTTGCTGGACCATTTTACGGACAAATGTTTCTCTTAGTGATTGACACTTTCTCGAAATGGCCAGAAATAGTACCTATGTCCTCTATTACAACAGAAAAGACAGTAGAAGCACATAAGAATTTGTTGTGTAAATACGGAATACCTAGAACAATCGTCTCAGACAACGGAACTTCATTTACTTCGCATGAACAAATTACAGTACAATAAAGAGCCTAGCTTGTTCACAGACAACTTGAAGACATTTTTATTTCACTATCGAGCTACACCTCACACTGCAACTGGACAAACACCTGCATTTTTGTTCTTTGGTCGTAATCTACGAACTAAATTAGATTTTATCAAACCTTCACAAGAGATAAACCTTCTGAAACTGCTATATAATAAAACCAGAGGATTTTCTATTGGGAGTAATGTGTACATTCGTACTTTTGTTGAAGGGAAAGTAAAATGGAAAATAGGAACCATACTTAGACAGTTAGGTGGGAACACATGGTTGATTGATTCTAATGGACACACTAAAAGACATACAAGTCAAATTCGGAAATGCTACCAAGACAATGAATCGGAAGAGACAGACGACCCCTGCATTAAACAATTACCACAGCTACTGTCTTCTTCAGATTTCCAAGTACGAAATCTAGAAGTACATGTTCGGAATTCAGAAAACCATGGATCACCAGCTGTATTCCCTAGCCCTAGAACATCCCCTGCAGAAGCTTCACAACACCCGAATGTACCTCCTCAGCTGCGAAGATCAACAAGGAACTTCAGGCCACAGAGGAGGTTAATTGAAGAAGCCTAAACTTGGTGGAAAGAAGTGATATGTTTTGAACATTGTTTAAATTGCAGCTGACTTTTAACTTGTTTTTATTATTGTTTTTGTTTCTAGTTTTTGACTCATGTTTAAGTTCAGTTCTATTTTTTAAACTAAATTACCTATCAATGTATGTATTTATTTGGTACGTCAAACATAAAACAAACCTTCTAATAACCTACTTGATGTTGCAAGGATTGTTATAAAAGGTAGTGAAAAACCTATCCAAGACTCAAAAAGAAGTCATAAGCAGTAAATTTGAGCTTAATTATATAAATTTTGATCACTTTACTAACTGAATGGATTCATTCATACAAGCAGAGAGTTCAATATTTTTGTGCGAAATCGCACAGGTCCCTCAGTATTTTAAATATTTTAAAAGCCAAAAAGCCTATAACTAAAGCAGAGGATTATATTATTTCTTGAAATTTTGAGCAGCAGTTTTTTTTTATATAAATGGTTTACACTGAGTGTTGTCTGGAAGTTAAATAATTTATTTTCTATTTAAAATCATAGCTTATGAGCGGATTGAGCGAAGTTATTTTACTACACTCCTGCTTTTGTTTTCCACATACTCCTCCTGAACGGCCAAAGGGGTCCACATGATATTTAGCACAGCCATAGTAACCAACTACGCGAAGGTATAGATCTGAAATGGTACAAATCGAAATAAAGGGCTTTTCACTATGTGAGTTTAAATTTTTATAAACTTAACATGCGCCTTATGGGTTTATTGGTCGACATGACTTATTATTTGCAAGATATCAATAAAAAGGTAAACAAACAAGTCAATATGTTAGTCAACGAATCATCTAAACTAGCACATTACAAAACAGAACAAAAGGGAAGAACAATCGGATTAATATCGTTGAGAACAATTTACTACAAAATGAATAACAAATTATGGTCGCTGGAATAAAGCACCATTGACTTTAGACATTCAAAATAACCATTCCATTTTAAACCAAATCAACGATCACATAAGACCAATAAATGGAGCATGTTGGCCGCGACGTGAAGCCAGTATTTGTCACTAATACTTAGTAAGATGGCGGCTGCCGGCTGTGATGAACCCTAATAGCGGGCGCAACTAATTAAATGTCAGTTTATAGCAATGATATCCGTGCCAATACGCCTTTGTATTATAAATATTTCGATTACTAACACAATGTCCTTCAAAATACACTTTTAATTTGTTTCCTAGCGTTTACCGTTTCTTAGAAAAAGTAAGTTTACATAATTAACAACAAAAACTTTTTGGGCGAAAGAAAAATTCTGAAAAGCTACAAATTAATTTATATATATTTTTTTTAAGGGAGAGGAGGGAAAATGCTTTTACGCACACAGGTAGCCAGCCTGTAGTGTGTGACTCCTGAATTTATCACAGACTACTCACTAAAAAACCCCCCCTACTTTGTTGGACACAGACCTGGAATTGTTTGTCACATTACTTCAAGTCAGGCCAACATATGACCTAAGCCCTCAGGGCTCTCACCGTTTCTGGCATTTAGATACTTTATGACCTACGCCGCATCCCGGTCAAGGTCGAGCTTCTTGGCACGGAGAATTCCCTGGATGTAATGTGACACACAGGTCAAATTGTCCTCACACTCCGTCATCATAGGTATGACCTTTGTATTTATAATATATGTATCTATATCGTATTAAAGTTTGATAAAGTTCTGGCGTTTGGTTTACAATGTATGAATTTTCAAAGTCACAAGATATTTTCTGAAACTCTTTATACAACTCTCCTTTATATTCTGACCTTCATATAAATTTTTGTGAAAGAGCTAAAAAATATTAATTTTTAGATTAATACAAAAAATAAAACGAAGAACATTTATATGTTTGTACTCCGTGTTTTACTAATTAGTTTAGTAAATTTTCCGTATAGCTCCAAACTTGAGTATCTAAACTGTTTTACAAGTGAGGTTGTAGGCAGAATCTGCCCGCATGACGCAAAATGGCGCGGCGGGTAGCCCCTATATTACAATTTAAATTACAACCAAAGTACACCAGCTAAAAATTAAAAAAAAATATGATCCAAAAAATTCAACTCTTTAGCTACAAAATCCACCGTTTTTAACTTACCTGACCAAAAAATAAAAAAAGTAGCAGCCGACGAACTTTTTCATGTCATATTTTAAAACTCATTTAAAAGGACCGACTTTATTTGAAGATTTAAAATAGAAAATAAATATTAACTTTTAAGCTTTTAATTAGAACCAATAGTGTCATAGACTTATTGACTTCACTCATACGAAGTTTCAACCATATAACTTAAGTCTAAGTAGGCTAAATGTCGAGTTATTTTGAAGCGGAACATTGAGTTTTGGTGCCGTTTTCATCGACATCCAGCGCATCTAACCTAAACTAAGATGGCGGACCTGGCTTCACCTGCTTTAATGTTAGTTAGATAGGCGTGCTCCTTCTATTGGTCTTATGTGATCGTTGAACCAAAATATACCATTGACATTGGATACTGCAAGTAGACATTCAATTTACGTAAATCAGGCGCACCATTGACTTTGGATACTGCAAATAGGCATTTCATTTATGTAAAACAAATATACCATGACTTTGGATACTGTAAGTAGACAATTAATTAATTAGAAGCAGATGAACCATTGAATTTGGATACTGCAAATAGACATTCCATTTAAGTGAACCAGATGTACCATTGACTTTAAGATACTGCAAGTAGACATTCCATTTATGTGAACTTTGGATACTGCAAGTAGACATTCCATTTATGTGAACTTTGGATACTGCAAGTAGACATTCCATTTATGTGAACTTTGGATACTGCAAGTAGATTTCTTATTTATGTAAACCAGATGTACCATTGACTTTAGATACTGCAAGTAGAGATCTCATTTACGAGAAACAGATGAAGCATTGACTTGATACTGGAAGTATACATTCAATTTATGTGAATCAGGTGTACAATTGACTTTGAATATGCTAAGGAGATATCTCATTTAGTGAACTAGATTTAGCATTGGCTTATGATACTGCAAGTATACGTCCTGTTTACGTTAACTAGATGTAGCATTGACTTTGGAAAAGTATTGGATTAATATGCTAGCACCGCTCAATAATTGTACACCTAGTAAGTAAAACAGTGGTTCACATTGTGCGCGTATTAAACTGCAATAATAATGCAACTAGCCACTCACTAAACAAGTCTGATCACTAAATGTAGGAACGTGTGTATTTCATAGGACAAGTTAAATGTAGTATTTTACACTATTCACCAGCAGACGATACGCCACATTAATTTATAGTTTTCGCACATGCCGTCATACACATCTAGACTGCAGCGAGCACCGCGGAAGCGATGACAAATTACAAAATATCTATAAATAATATAATTAATTTAAGAATATATACATATATATATATACAGTATATTATAATATTTGTTAAAAAATATATTTTCACCACTCTACGATGTTTTAGCTGTTTTATAAACGTTGATTGGAGACTGAAAGCTACGTATTGCTGTCCAGGGCCGAAATGCCAGCTGTCATTGTTTTCTTTTAAATGCCCTCAGTTGTTTGCTTATTTACTTAAAACATTAACGTATCTACTTATTATTATTTTTGCTGATTCCTATAATTATTTCTTTAAATAACTTTTAAGTTGTAGTTATGTTGACTCTAAATGTGCATTTATTGTGGTGAATAGTGGAAAATCAGTGAAGGGCTGAAAATCAGCTGTTCGCTTATTTACCTAAATCATTAATGTATATTTAAGTTAATACACAAGCTTGATCCATAGGCATTGCAATAGACTTTTTTTATTGTCACCGCTGCTTATCAACTATTTATTATTATTTTTACTGATTCCTCTAAATATTTCTTCAGATAAAACTGAAGTTGCAGTTGTGTTGACTGTTAGTATGCAAATTGAATATATTTTCTCAATTTTGCATAGAGTAGTGAAAAATAGCGTTCACACCAGGGCCGAAAGGGTTTTGCAGCTCGCTCACGATCGTTTAAATTTCTCGACTTTGTCTTGAATTTAAAAATGATCTTGAGCCAGCAAAACCTCATTTTTGACCCTAGGTACAAAATATACTATTACCTGATCAGAGTAAGTCCAACTTAAATGTGCATTTTATATACATGCAAAAAACAAAATATTCATTTTCTCTAATAGGCTCCGCCCCTCAGAGGCTTCAACCCTGGCGCAACTACTCCACTCGCTCCATGGTCGCTACACCATTCGGTTGTGGTCTGCGGGTCGTAGGTTGGAGACCCTTGACTCATATTATAACATGCAAAGTAAGCCAATTTACTTTTAATAATTTTTATTTTGACAGGGATTATTAACCCTAATAGTAAAATATAAGACTATCTTACAGTTCCAACTTCTTTGATGTCATGCAAATCCTTCTTCATGATATTCCGAGCAGCTGCCAAAAATGTCTCACAAGTTTTTTTAGCAAAGAGTTCTTCAATATTAGTTGCATATTCAGCAATCACTTTATTGTCCTCTTCAATAAATCCTTTAAAAAAATACATATTTTGCTCATACAAAATCTAGTATACGAGTGCACCTGTTGCTCGAATTTGAGCAATTGCAAAGTATTACAGGCGTTATATTTCAAAACAAATAACAGTCACAATTTCCGATGTCTTAAAAGAGTCAACTTAAAGATAATGTAATCAATAACTCCACTTCAGTTATCGAAACTGAAATCGAACTCACTCTGAAAAAGAATGATCTTGTGTGTATCATGTGTGTTTACTATGAACAGCTGTAATTAATACAAATTATTTGTCTGTTTAAGTAAACAAAATCTTTTCTTCACGAGAAATACATTGGGATTTAGGTGACCTGTGGGGCAAAGCCCGAAGACTTTTATTACAGGAATTGGTGAAAGGGGGCGTCTACACAATAAATACTTAATTTTGACACATCGTTTGTAAAAATCTGTCTATTATTATCGGAGGAGTAATGTTTCGTAGAAATCGCCTTCACGTATTATATATAAGGATTATGACCACAATTTTGTAACAAGAAAACAAATTGACAGCAAATGGAATAACAGTATTTTTTTCAGTATATGGCTTGGTATTGATAATTTTTTTTACCTGTAAACATTTGGAAATTTTCCCTGTAAAGCATAGGCCTACCATTACTAAAATTTCTAACTACTGTACTCTATACTCTGTACTCTACTGTAACTCTATGTAAAAACTACATAGCATAACACTTAAAAATATCCATAACAAGGTAAAACACAAGCTGACATAAATCAATATTTTAAATGTTTAATTAATCAATAGTATCATATAAACTAAGCTGTGTGGTTTTCAATGTCAATACAGATTTATTTTTGGCTCTATAAATATCAAGTTATATAAGTTTGATGTCCAACATCAAACTTAAGGTAATAGAAATATAATATATGGGATTTGTTTCAACAAAGGTGTCCATAACATCATACTAAAAATCGAGAAAAATCTAAAAGTGGTGGAAAGCCACCATTTTGGAAAAAACTTCCACCGTATTGGATTTATGTAAGCTTTTAGTAAAACATCAATAGTTTGACAATTAAGCGTCTTAAAAAGCTGTGGTTTGTCTTAAAAGCTTCCTCGTTAAGTCTTCTTTAAGATAATAAAAATTTTTATACCATTCAAGTATTGTTTTTTAAATGAGACAGCTTTATTGAAACAATACCAAAGATTTGTTTAGCAAAACCTTTAAATGTTCGCAAATACAAGATCACACGTATTTTGAGACCACTAAAGAATCTATATAATTAATACGCCAACACAAAATTTGTCTTTTGAACTCCTCCGCCAATTCTTAACCGATTTTGACCATTGACGTCTCATTGGAAAAACGTGTCGCGTAGATTTGCAAACTGACCTTACATTTTTTGAAAAAATCCCTTGGGCTCTGCCCCAGTGGTTTTTAAAGTTCCCATGTTATCCTTATGAAGAAAATATTTGTTTACATTATGATCAGCTGGATAACTTATTTGCTAATTGCTGTTAATAAGTTGCAATTCAGGGAAATGCATCCTACAAAAATTTAATCTTACTGACCTGGTTGAAATTAAATACTTACTCTTTGAATTTGGGTTTGTGTGCATATTACAATGGAAAAAAGTGAGAAAGCCTGGATAATTTGATTTATTATCCAAATAAGAACATTGAATTTACATAGTACTGTATTTATTGACAATCATTGAAAGAACCGATTTGCAAACTGGAAACATAAAAAGTCATAGAACGCCACCGAGCAGAATAAATAGAGATAATGTTTTATTTTAAAGAACTTATTATCGTTATTAGCCTATATAATGAAGAACACCTACAAGATGAAGATTCCTACAAACGATGAAAGAGGATGTTAGCCGTAGTGCTGCAATTTTTAGTAGGAAACATGGACTTAACTTTGTGATCATTGCAGAGGAAAGCCCTCTAAGGCTAAATAAATCTGGTACGTCAAGGACATTAATCTATTTTTCCATAAATTCAGGCGATTTTAGAAGAATAGCCTATGACTATATCCAAGAAACCCTTACTGAAATTTTCATTGAAGGATTAATTATTATTCATAGTTAAGGGAAACAAAAACCAACTGAACAACATCAGGCCTTTTACTCTGCATTTTCTCAGGTAAATATAATTAAAGTTATTGCAACTATCCAAAAGTCCGCCAATTGAACAGACAAAATTGTGAAAGACAGAAGGTCCTTAAGGTGATGAGAACAAATTTTATCTTTATTACCTAAAGAATGACTGAAGTTTGTAAACTTACTGCTGGCGACAAGGGTGGTACCATGTAGGTTTATTAATAAGGAAGTTAAACATGGACAACCTTATGCGGCTATGAGTCAGGAAATGTTTGTAGAAAACACTAAAAAACAATATCAGCTTATAAAACATGATCAAATATTTATAGGAAATGTTGATTATATCGATCTGTTACATACATCGTTAGTATTTCCATGAGTTACGCACCAGTAATCTTTGAGTTGACTCTTTTAAACTCCTTGTAAATATACCTGTTATATTGAAATAACTTCTGTAATACTTTTCAATTGCTCGAATTCGAGCAACATGTCAAGCAACTAGTCTGCATTGAATTTTGAACAATAATAATCATACGGGTTTTCCTATAGACCATCAATTTTTGACAACTTTTATTATGTTACTCTGCACACCTAACACTTATAATAAAACAATTAAATGTTTCATTGAAATGTTTTTAAGGTAATATCCTATATTTCTCTGACTACTACTGACACTACTGTAATTACAGGCCTATCTCATTGTTATGCTCATTTTCCAAAATTTTTGAGCGAGTTGTGCATATACAACTTTCAAAATACTTAGAGGAAAATAATTTAATAGATAATGAACAATATGGTTTTAGAGAAGGAAGGCCTGTGATTGACGCAGGAGTTGATTTCTGTGAATCTATAATTAATTAAATTGATTCAAAGGAAAAAGTAGTTGGAATATTCTTGGACTTAACAAAAGCCTTTGATAGTGTCTCACATGATTTACTTCTTGAAAAACTTAAATATAACAGTGTAAAAGGGAGAGCTTGGCGTTGGTTTGAATCTTATCTTACAGGCAGGCAGCAGTATGTCACAATTGATCACATAAATAGCCATAACCAATTAATAACTTACACTTCCTCAACAAAAATTGTTAAGTATGGTGTCCCTCAAGGATCAATATTGGGGCCCCTTTAATTCGTAATTTACTTGACTGACTTCCACTCATTGATAGAATCTCCCAATCGTGTTTGTTTATTTGCTGATTAACTTCTTGATCAGCATTGTACGTGTTATTAAATTTACGGAAAGTAAATAAAGATACGTCTTATAACACTTAAAACATATATTTACGCTTATACTGTTACTCACAAGACGGTAAATATACAAAAGATGGTAAATGGTGATCGATTTCGATTAAACACTCCAATCATCATCAGACCCAATAGGCGAAATAGATGGGAAGGGGGGGAAACAGGTCCGCGACGTAGGAAGTGGTGAAGGAAGTAGTAAAGGCGAGTTGTCCAGAGTGTGGGATCTCTTAATGATCAATAGATTAATGGTATTTGCAATCCAATAATGCTATGGAAAGGGAAACAGGTCCGTGATGTAGGAAGTGGTGAAGGAAGTAGTAAAGGCGAGTTGTCCGGAGTGTGGGAACTGTTATTGACGATTATATTAAGGTATCTGCAATCCTAAAATGCTATGGAAAGGGTGGGAAACAGGTCCGTGACGTAGGAAGTGGTGAAAGAAGTAGTACAGACGAGCTTTTCGGAGTGTGGGAACTGTTTATGACGATTAGATTAAGGTATCTGCAATCAAATGCTATGGAAAGGGAGGGAAACAGGTCCGTGACGTAGGAAGTGGTGAAGGAAGTAGTAAAGGCGAGCTGTCCGGAGTGTGGGAACTGTTTATGAAGATTAGATTAAGGTATCTGCAATCCTAAAATGATATGGGAAGGGAGGGAAACAGGTCCGAGACTTAGGAAGTCGTGAAGGAAGTAGTGAAGGCGAGTTGTTCGGAGTGTGGGATCTGTTTATGACCAATAGATTAAGGTATTTGCAATCCAATAATGCTAAGGAAAGGGAGTAAAACAGGTCCGAGACTAGGAAGTGGTGAAGGAAGTAGTAAAGGCGAGCTGTCCGGAGTGTGGGAACTGTTTATGACGATTAGATTAAGGTATCTACAATCTTAAAATTCTATGGGAAGAGAGGGAAACAGGTCCACGACGTAAGAGGAGGTGAAGGAAATAGTAAGGTGAGCAGTATGGAGTGTGGAAACTGGAAACTGTTTGTAGCAGTTAGATTAATGTATCTGCAATGCTGAAATGCTATGATAAGGGATGAAAGCATGCCCACGACATAGAAAATGGTGAAAGAAGTAGTAAAGGCTAGCAGTGCGGAGTCTGGGCAATGTTTGTGGCAATTAGATTAACGTATCTAAAATACTAAAATGCTATGGAAAATGATGAAAACAGGTCCATGATGTAGGAAGTGGCTTAGGAAGTAGTAAAGTATGACCATAGTGTGAGAACCGTCTGTGGCAGTTAGATTAATGTATCTTCAATCCTAAAATGCTATGAGAAGGGAAGGAAACAGGCCCCACGACGTAGGAAATGGTGAAGGAAGTAGTAAAGGCTGGCAGTGCAGAGTGGGGGAACCGTTTGGGCAGTTAGATAAATGTATCTAACACTTAAATGCTATGAGAAGGGAAGAAAACAGGTCTATGACGTAGGAAATGGTGAAGGAAGTAGTAAGGCTTGCAGTGCAGAGTGTGGGAACTGTCTTTGGCTATTGCATTAATGTATCTGTAATCCTAAAATGCTATGGGAAGATAGGGAAACAGGTCCACGACGTAAGGGGTGGTGAAGGAAGTAGTAAAGGTGAGCAGTGTTGAGTGTGGGAATGGATTAATGTCTCTGCAATGCTAAAATGCTATGGGAAGAGACTGTAGACTGTAGGTTAAAATGATTACAAAGCACGAATCGA